AAGCTTCTCCACATCCTTTTTGAATTGTGGAGCCCAAAACTGGACGCAGTACCCCAGCTGCAGCCTTATGAAGGCCGAGTACAATGAGAGAATGACGCCCTGGGATTTGCTTGAGAAGCATCTGTGGATGCATGCCAGCATTTTGCTCACTTTACTGGCTGCAGCACCACATTGCCAGCTCATGTTCATCTTGTGGCCAATCCTGACTCCCAAGTCCCTCTCATCCATAGTGCTAGTCAGTGTAGCACTGCTGAGCCTATAGACATGCAGCAGGTTTTTCCTCCCAAGGCAAAGAACCTTGCATTTTTTGGTTTTAAACACTATCAGGTTCTTGTCTGCCCATTTACTGAGGCTGTCAAGGTCGGCCTGGTTGTGATGTTTGAGTTCTTTGCAGCCGAAAAGCTGCTCCATTATTTTTCTCTACACAAAAATGAGAGTTAAAACTAACAAGATCGCATTTCCCAAGCACTACCATAAGTCTATCCAGGATGCACTAGTCTAAAAAAAGATTAAGAACCAGTGCATTAGAATATCCCCCCACAGTTACAGAACAAAGACTTGGGTTTTCAACTTCACAAAGCCGTAGACAGTTGGTGAGTGGAGGCAGAGAAGGAAGCTTGGGCAAGGCAGAGAGACAAAGAGGCAAGATTTAATTGCCTGCCAACCACAAAAAGCTGTACAGGAAAAAAAACATACCACAACGATTGTAAGCTACGTGCAGAAAGATGGATCCAGACCGTTTAGAGGACTCCAATGTAAGACCAAACAACCCTTAGGTTTGGTGAAGAAATAAACTACAGAAATGAATGCAGATCCTTATTTTGTCTAGAGCTGTACAATCCCCATGCTAAAGTGAGAAGCAACTGATGTAAGAAACAAAGCCTGCAAGTCTGCTCCAACTATTATCTAACCCTGCAAACAGGTCTTAAACCAGGAGTGCCCTTAAAGTTGGGCTTACAATAATAAAAAGTCTGTGGTGTCATCAGTGGAACCAAGCCAGCTCGCTACATCTCATTAAATGAGGGCAGGGGAAAGAGTGGGAGGAGGGAAAGGTGGCTAGGAAGCGTGCCAGGAAGACAAATGCTTTATCTAGTTCAGACACTGCACTTGTGTCCTGTGTGGTGGTACCTGCTAACCATCCAGCTGAGAGGGCTTCACCAGTACTGTAACAACCACTGACATAGTTATACCAACAAAAGTTAAGATGAACTTGATAGCACTGTGTATAGTACCAAAAGACACTTCAAGATGCAGGTATGGCCTAATGCTCAAGCTCTTATGGCTACAGAGAACCTTGTACAACATACAGGTAGAGAAAACTGTAGTGTTGTATTGTAGGAGTTTATTTAGATTTTATCTCCTTCAGCAATTTGCCAAAGTATGACACGTGTGTACATATGAAAGAAGAAAACATGCTCCCATAATAAAAAGACAGCCTTATGAACAAACCTGCACCCTCTTGTGTAGACCCTCTTTAGTAGGAAGAGCCAGTAAGCCATGAACATGGCCCCACCCTTATACACAGACCCCATGTCTTTTGTTATAAGTGGAGGAGGCTGGAAATTAAAAACCCACACTTCATTCCCCCACACTTCCTGTATTTTGCCAGTAAGAAGCGACACAGGACAGGTTCTGTGGCTCATTCCATAAAAACTCCACTGCAGCAAGGGTTCCCCCTCTTACATGCAAAGCCAAATTCCTTTTTCCAGAAATACAAGATAAACAGAATGTTCTTACCTTCCTAGCTCTTCAGGTTCAAGCACATAAAAGTTGTGAAAATTATCTGTCCTGATTTGCGTCTGAAGAGATGTAGACAACAAACCTGAAAGGCTTCTGCTCTCTGATCTTCTCCTGGACATGATTAACATAAGGTCTCTTCTCTCTCCCAGCCACCTGTTTCTACCTGTCAAAGCAATACATATGTTAAAAAACTACAAACATTACAAAACTCTACTGCCCTACCTTCTCAGGTTTCTTTCCTTTATCTTTAAGCACCCAAGATAACATATCTGGTGCTGCATGTTCAGAAGAAACCTGATACAGTGAACCCTATCCACCCTGGTAGAAGCCAGCAGTTTTGAGCATAGAACTGATGACCATAAACAAGGGAAAAGGTGATAAGTGATCCATAATATGGCACTGGCCTTCAACATCACCCTTTGCTCTGGCTCCAGTATCTCAAGATCAGAGCTTTATAGCTTTGGTTTGGAACTTCATTTGCAAAACCAGGGCCTTACAGGTGCATGTTAATGGAATGACTATTTTAGCCAGCTGTTCAGAGCTGGACAGTTAAACTGCTAAGCTTATAACAACAGCATAAGGACCACTACAATTTTTTTCAACAGAAGTGTAAAAATAGGGTAACAACTGAAGCACCTACTGAGGCACACTGCTGGGAGGAGGGGGCACACACACAAAAACCAGTCACCAACCCACTGGCCCAACCACCATTGCTGGCAGTCCAGCTACAATTGCTGCCCCCAAGCACAGAACTGCCCAGCTTTGCCTTTGGCTTTCAATGTTCTGGTCTCAGATTAGAACAAGGCTGCAAATGATCTTTAACCGAACAATATCAATATTACATATATACATCCAAAGAGCAGAGGAAAACAAAAAACAGCAAGGCACGAGGCAGACTCTTCTGAACCCCAGGTTCTTTGTTTCCAGTTTAAACACATCAGAACCACATAAGCACACCAGCATGCTAAACTCTCTAGCCATATAAGAAAGAACCAGGAACCTAAAGCCTAATAAAAACTAAAGTGGCTGTGGTACCACTCCAGAGGTTCCTGGTCTGTTCGTTACTTCAGTTAGAAGGAACTTGAAGACACATCATACATTCCCTTCCCCCACTGTGTAGCCCTATGCTTTTAATATTCTGAACCATGAGGAAACAGGAAGAAGCATACACGTCTCAAAGAATGCTACTAGAAAACGGGTCCATTTGTCCAAATTACTCTGGCAGTGGAAAAGTACAAAGACCATTTGCAGAGTCAGTATTTGCATTAGAAACAGCTTGATTTTTCATGCTGTAAACACTTTGGTACAGAATGACCAGGCAATTCAAGTGAAAAAGAAATCACTCCATCACTACCAGAAGTCTTATTACTAAAAAACAAGCTACTGGTTGATCAAATTTGACTTAGGCATCTGTTTTTGAAGAATATTTTTAAATCCCAAAACTAAAAGCTTGTAAAAAGAAGGCAACACATGAAGGTGGTCACAAATATAAATGGATAACCAAACTGGACAAACACGTGGGAAAGAATGGTACTATGTTTTCTTATGTCTGCATTGTTTTTAATATATTCCTAGCATTTTCCTTATTTAAAAATTTCAAGATATTTTTGAATTTAAGATTGAGGGGATCCCAAGTTGTTTCACTTGACAAAGGCACTTAACTTTGGGAAGAAATAGGAAATAATTTTTCCCTTTAGAAACTAAATATAATTGAAATAAAGTTACAATTGATTTTTCTGAGCCTCTACAAGCAGCGGTCTCTGCATGCAACATTCTCCATAGTGTTAACAATGTTGAATTGTCCCTACCGGGAAGCTATGCTTAGCTTACACTGCTGGTCCTGCTCAAAGCATTTTGGTTAGGGGTGGGCAATTTTTTCAGCTGGAGGGCCACTTAATGAGTTCTGGTGAGCTGTCATATGTCACACTTGTGAAATACTTTAGAAGATATCATTTCAACAAGTTATAGATTAAAAAAAAACCAAATTGTATACTAAAAATTAAACAACTACTATTACATATTTTAACTTTATTTTAAAAAGTATTTTTGTCCTTATTTGAGTGGCATGTATCGAGGCAACTGCATAATAACCCAAAATAGTCTTACACCACACACACACAATGTACAAGAGTATGTGGGGGTAGGGGGGCAGCTGCTTGGGCACTAGGTCCCAGGAGCCAGCCAGGTGTGGGGGGGACTGAGGGCACATGCTGCAGAGCTCACTAGGGAGGTGCAGTCTGTACAGTGCCCTGTGTGGAACCCAGCCTCACCCACTGCTGCCCAGGGCAGCCAGGACTGGGCTCCCACCCGTGCCTGCTAGCCCATCAGTGTGCACAGCTTCCCAGCAGGGCTGCTCCCAGTATGGCTGCAGCCACCCAGGTGCGACTTGGCTTCCCCCACCTCCAGCAGCTTCTCCTCCTTGTGCTTTGCTGCTCCAGATGGGGGTGGGGGAGGAGGAGAGAACTGCAGCCAGGTTGCTCCTGCTTCAGTGAGTGGGGCTCCAGCCGCCTTCCACCCACTTGGTTATCCACAGGTGGCTCATTGTACCAGGCAAGCAGAGTAGGTGGAAGGCAGCCACAGGGGCAGCTGCAGACCAGATCCAGGCAACTGTCAGGCACCCCCCATGGGCCAGATCCAATCAGTTAGCAGCCCAGATCCAGCCCTCAGGCCATATTTGGCTCACCCCTGGGTTAGCCTATGCTACAATTAATTTATAGGAGTGGTCATCAACCTCAATATGCTCAAGGCATCCCTCAGAAAATGGCAGATTTTAGCTTTCACTTATTTTTAACTAGGAAAAAATAGATTAATTCTTCTGTTGCAAATTTTTGAGACTATAGATTCCTATTTGAAATCTCTGGGTTTCTCTCATGAAATGTGTAGGGGTTTGCACACTCAGGTTTAGAATCACTGATTTATTGGACACCCTTTCCAAAACTTCAGATAACATCAGGGTGCTGACAGGGTGGTTGTCTACACTACTTGGGTGGATTTTTCTTTACAGCAGCCTTCACTATCCTAAATTTTAAGTCTGAGACAAACTGCAATTTAATCTGTTCTAACCCATATGGAGCACATCTAGATAACTATTCTCTGGCACAGTTTGTAGATTATTGCAAACCAGTTTCACTGTGACCTTTAAATTAATTTAATAGTTGAAACAAAATATGCAACCTGAACATTTGAATCCCATGCTGTAATCAAATAGGGGAATCTTTGAAACTGTGGCATACCCCAGTGAAAGCGTAAGGATTTAACCACAGGGAAACAAATGCAAACTAGGTTTTTACCTAATTTCTAAACATTGATAGAAAAAAAAAATTAGAAATGAGGCTCCCCATAAAAGAGAGAGACTCAAATATGCACTGGTTGTTCAGGGACAGAGCATGGGAGCATTACCTCCAAGTTATGCCAAAGATTCATGTCACTAAAGAATCTTCTGTAGAGGACAGCAAGTTAGCAAAGATCTGGATAGAACAGGGTTACTTAAGGATAAGTCATCGCTACAATACTTGGTTTAAGTTAAAACATGATGATTTTGATGGGAAAAAAGTGGCCAACTGCAGTTTTGAAGACTGTCAAGAGTAAGCTATAAAAAATATATTTTTGAAAGTTCAACTGACAATGAAACATCATCAGCGTCAGAAGATATTTATCAAAACCTCCAGTGGGGAGAAAAAAAGCCGCAGAAAGCGTCTACTGATCTCAAGTTTGCATTTCCTTCAGGCAATTATGATTCAGATGTTCTCTGACATATTTAGCCCAGAATCCTTACACGAATCAAAACCAGCTCCGTGCTCTGCTACCCCGTTTGTCATTCTTCAAAGACAGCAAGAGTTTAGACAAGCCTGAAAAGATTCTTAAATGAAAATAAAGGGTACCCAGTTTACGTTGACATAACTGTGGGAGAAACAGAAAGTTATAAATTGGGAACATTTATTTCTTTGCTGATATTAGGAGCAAGTGACACTAATTCAGTGAGACACCTGGATTTCACAAGCAGGGTTATCTTCACTTTCAAACACCGTACCTACTGCTTCAGAAAAGCAGTTTTAAAAACTGGCATTTTTGTTTTGTTTGTTTTTTTAAAAAGCAAGAGTCTTTTTTGGGTTGTGAACAAACTTACTGAACCCAAGATGGGTTTTGGGGCTTTTTTTATAAAGTTATGCCACCTTTAATTTGATCTGATGCTGCTCCCTTTAACATTAATAGGCCGGTATGAAACGCAGCTAAAAAGAAACCAAGAAAAGAAGAGAGGTGCTACAGAGTCAGCAGCTACTAACTGACAGGTCCACACGCTCAGGCCTCACTCCCATCCTCAAGCCACCCAGCTCCAAGTCAAGCAGCAAATGAGACCAGGGGTAGAAGGTGGACACCCACCAACCCCACTGTCTGCAGGGCACTACCGCTTGAGGATCAAGAGGCGCAGCGGGGGCATGGACCATGAGGACGGAGGCAGTGAATAAAAGGCCAAAAAGTAAAATTCCCACTTCTAGATAAATTATTTCTAAATAACTTAAATTCTACTGAAAACTAGAAGCAAAGAAACAGCCACACGTAAGGGGGGGTGCAGGGTCTCTCTCACACGAGCCGTTTCGAGGGGGGGAGCGAGCAGCTTTTCCATGCGACTAGACTGAAACCGCGTCAAAGATCAACCGCGCTTGTGGCCGGCGGGGAACAAGCCTGGCTGCGGCACGAGGCCGCGCAGCGCCAGGGCCCAGCAGCCCGAGACGGCTCCCCCGCAGCGCCTCAGGCAGGACGCACCTGAGCTCGGCGCCCCTCTACCCCCGGTCACCTACCGC